CCTTAGGGTTTCAGCAGGGCTGGGGGCTCGGTGTTAGGGCAGCATCCTTCATCCATGATGAATCCTTCCATTAAGACCAAATGGGAGGGGGGGCCGAGGAAGGCATAGCTCAAGTGGTAGAGAGCATGCTTAGCATGCATGAGGTCCTGGGTTCAATCCCCACGTATCTCCTCCTAAAAATAAATAAATAAACCTAACCCCCCCACCCCCCGCAAAAAAGAAGAAAAAAGACCAAATGGGGTATTCCATAGTCCTGTCTCACAGCTGGCTTTTGAAATAGTCTTTGAAAAGAAATATTCTTTCTCACAGTAGAACATCTCTGAAGTTGGAGTGCTAACTGCAGTCAGTACCTCTAATTGGTGATTTTTTTCCTAATCTTGGTGGCACATAAAATGATGTATCTTACAAGTAATGCTGTCTGGAAACGGGACACATGCTCTACTTGATGCTCCTGTCTCGTCTCTGAGTGTAAAGTCCAGTGTGGGTTGTTTTCCCTCCAGGACTGGGGCACAGTGTGATTTCTTTGAATACTGATTCAGTAGATGTGTGAAATCAAGCCTGGAAATGGATATTTGTCATGTGGTAAATGGATTGCATATGCTATCAGACTGATGCCCGCGCTGTATGTTGGTTTTTGTTTTCCTGTCCTGATAGGTATTGAAATAAATACCCTGAGTTAAACATAGATAATGCAGTACCACTGGTGCTAGAGAGAAAAAGCCTCCAGGTTGTGAGCTGTTCTTTAACACCGAGCAGCTGGATCCTTCCAGGGAATGTTCTATATTTAATATGATCCTGATTCCATCTAAGATTTTAGCTGGGAGATGGGAAGCTCTACTGGGTGGGAACTGGGGACCCGGGTTTTCCTGTTGGCCCTGCCTCTCTGGTGTGTGCAGGGCGTGTTTGTCTGGAACTCTTTTCTCTACCTCTCCTGTGAGTAGACTAGTTGAATTCTTTGTAGTTAGAATAAAGGTTGAAACTTCATCTTAAAGTTGACCTAGAAGACTACGCATGAATTTAGAAATTAAAAAAAATACTCTTTAAAGGACACAGATTAACCTGTACACCAAGCAGAGATAGACTCACAGACATAGAAAACAAACTGAGGGTTACCGGAGGGGGAAGGGATGCGGAGCGATAAATTGGAAGTTTGAGATTTGCAGATACTAAGTATTATGTATAAAATAGATGAACAACAAGGTCCTTCTGTATAGCACAGGGAACTGTATTCAATACCTTGTAATAGCCTATAATGGAAAAATATGAAAAGGGGTATACATATGTATAACTGAATCACCATGCCGTACACCAGAAATTAACACAACATTATAAATTGACTCTGCCTCACTTTAAACAAAAAACTTAAAATAACCTAAATTCTTTTAGTTTTTAGTCTAATTGGCAAAAATGTCAGGGGAGGAATATAAATTACTTAATCTCTAATCTCAATTTCCCAAAATATAAAGCTTACATTAGTTCGCAGGCCCTGGGATTAACCTGGGGAAGGTTTGAACCTGCCATTGCTTTGAGTGTTCCACATTTTGCCTGGAACATCTTAACAGCTACTTAGAGCGATTAAGAGCAAGGTCACTTCTGAGCCCCAGTGGGATGGTAACTACTAACTTCTAAGGATGTCAGGGAAGGTGAAATAATAACGCTTGAAACCCAGGACCTACCACGTTGTTCAACTCTTTGGAAAGAAGCTGAAAGGGATTTGAAAACTCAAAGAGCCAGACCAGGTAAATAATTGCGGAAGAAGAGGCCAGGCTGGAAAAGCAGTAGGCGGTAGGATCTCCTTCCTCATGGGAAGGAAGAGACCTTGCCTTGTCTGCCGCCCTGGATGAAATAACATTCACTCCCCGTGGCTTTGTATAACCTTCCCCACAAGCAATGATGACTGTCATTGACACACTGTGTATTTAAGGATGTCGGCTCCATCGGAGCCGGGGTCTCTTGTTTAAAAATTATTTTTTAACTCAAGTTTTTATTTAAGCAATTGTAGATTCATACAAAAGGAGAAGTCATACAGAGATGCTTACACATACTTTGCTCGTTTTTCCCAGTGGCAGGATTTTGCACAACTACAGAATAAACAATAACCAGGATGTTGGTAGTGACGCAGCCTACTGGTCTTAGAGATTTTCCCATTTTGCTGTGCTCAGTACTTGAATGTAGTCTGTGCCATTTATTACCTGTGTAGGTGTGTGTGTTCACAGATTGTGACCCTAGCACTTGAAACAACACTGCTGGGTAGTAGGCGTTCATTTATGTGCACAGGTGAACAGTGGTGTGGGGACACATTGGAGTGTGTATTCCCCACCTCGGTTCCTCTTTCTTGCCTCTAGGTGGGAATTTGGGCCCATTGTTGCTAGGTGATCTGATATTTCTTTTTTTCTTCTCCTAGAGAATAAGTATCTGGATTTTTTTTAACATATGAAGTCTAATTTTTAAGCATAAGTTATACTAAAATGCTGTTTTAGTCGACATGAATTCACCTCGTTATTTGTGGTTTTGTTCAACCAAATTCACAAGCAGACCTTAACTGTGGTTTGCCAACAGGCAATCAGATCTGTTTTGGTGGAAACCTTTCTTCTGTCCCTCCATCCGTAGGTCCATTATATGACGCACGGGGCCAACAATAGCTCGGCCCGCCGGGGGCGGAAGCTGGCCATCGAGAACACCATGGCTCTGTTAGGGACAGACGGGAAGAGGGTCCCCGAGATGTTTCCCAAGGAAATCCTGGCCCCTTCGGTGAACGTGGACCCTGTTGTGTGGAACCAGTACACCACCATGCTCAACGGCGGCCTGGCCATGAAGACCAACGAGATCTCCGTGATCCAGACCGGCGGCGTCTCTCCGCTCCCAGTGTCCCTGGGGGCCGGCTCCGTGGTGAGTAACACCGCGCTCTCCAAGATGGGTGGCTCCCAGGCCGCCGTCAGTGCTGACGCGGAGAAGCCAGGAGCTGTGGACAGCGTTCCCAAACACCAGTTCCCTCACTTCCTGGAGGAAAACAAGATCGCGGTCAGCTAAGCTAAAGGAGAACGCACGTCGATGGAGAAATGCAGACCAGTGACCTCTCTAGACCTGTCTGTACCTTTTCTGGTTTTTTGTTTTTTAAAGAACCCATCTCCTCCTGTTTTGTTTTGTTTTTTTTTTAACTGATGTGCAAATAATGTTTACAGTGGTGACCACAACCTCAGGCAAGTCCTACAATCACGATATTGCTATGCTGCTTTGCAAAAACAGAAACAAACAAAAAGAAAAATCGAAAAAAAAATTCATACTAAAACAAATACAGAGTAGTATTTTTTTTTTAATTTTGGAAAGAAGCGGGTCTTGCAAAGTAGTTTTGTTACTTGCGACAAACTATACATAAAACCTTTGTACAACCTAGAGTAACTATTTCCAAAGACTGTCACCTGTTTCAAGTTGGAAACTGTTAAACCACCATGAAAAAGACAACGGTTTAGCCTGTTTGGGGGGTGGGGCGGGTGGAGGGCACTGTATACTTCGGTGACTGTATGCGGGTAAATGGACAAGGTCTGTTGTCTGATTAGGGACCTGTTTTGTATTCTCCCAACCCTGCACCCAACTTTTTTTTTTTTCCTTTTTTGAATGTACTTTTTTTTTTTTTTTAAACCAAGGTTGTAGAATTCCAAAATGTTTTCAGCCTTGGAACCTTAAGTAGGATGCTGTCAGGTGGACTTCTTTGAGTCCTTAGAGAGTCAACGTGTTGCTGCTTATTTAAGTACAGTTCAGTTGGAGCCCCGAGTGCCAATGTCCTCCCTGAGCTTTCCAGATGCCTTCTTCTTCCTAAAATCAGGAGAGGTGAACACCTGTGCGGGGGAATCTCAGGTGACTTGATCGAGTTCGCCAGTGCCTACTCTGTCAAAGAGCTGGGTGTTCATTCTTGAAACAAACCCACGGAAGGGCGTGTTTTCTTATTATATGCTAATAACTTCTTAAGCTAATTTTTACCAAAATTTCTTTGATTGCAACTCATGCCAAGTAATTATGAAGTTTGTTTTTTTCCCCCTTCGGAGTATTGATTGCATGAAGGCTACCAAGTTGGAGCAGGCAAGTCCTGGATGTGAAAGCTTTAATTTATCTACCTCATTTATTTGTTATTTTTGTAGCTAGAGTCTCTGTTTCCCTATTTGATGACCGCTGAAGTGTTCCTAGGCCCTGTCTTAAAACCTAAGAGTTGATGTATTGGTGGGAGCAGCTGGACATTCAAGGTGTTTTTTGTGATTTCTTTTTTTTTTCCTTAATCCCCTTTTTGTATCTGTCAGATGGAGCAGACCACGGAGCGTTAGTCTTAACGATTTAACGAGGAAGGAGAGAGGCCCACGTGTCTGGGTGGAGAAGTCTTTGCCCCTCTATGTGGAAAAGTGGGTGGACTCCTATCAAAAGTTTGTCTCTTGGTAATTGCACCTGACTTTAGGATCCAAAAAAGAAATTTTTTTTTTTTTTTTGCCAAGTTGTGCCTTTCCTTCTGGAATTGTAAGTGAACACAATAATAGTACCTGTTTACACTGTGAAGTGGATATTGTTACAGAAAACACACCAGAGGCTTTCTCACTTGTCAAGCTAATAATGCCTTGTGAATGTATGATCTACGGAGAAACCCCTGTAGTTTTACCTGCTGATGCTGTCTGTCTGTTGGAGAATAAATTTTGGATGGTTCTTTTTTTCCCCATCAGGCGTGTCTGTAAGTTTTTCTGGTAGTTTCTGCTCTAAACCTGAGACTCCTTATTCGACAGTCACTTCCAGCTGCCTTGGGACCCTCTGGGTCCCAGAATTGAAGCCACACATCTGGTTACATCCCTGCTGGACTCACTACAAGCACACAAACTTACTTGCTGGTTGGTATCTTTCCTTTTTAAGGCATTTTATTAGAGTCCTGTCCTTCAAGAGGACTTTTGCTCGTGACCATGGAAAGCTTGTCACGCTGTAGATTATCCCACGTCTCAACCCTTCCTATCCTGGTACAAGTCACTGGGCAAAGCGATAATATTTTTAAATCATCGCATACTTAAAGGGCTGGCTGCTCAGAAGGGGGTGGGCTGAGAGTCATACAGAGGGTAGCATTGAATTCCAAGGGAAGATTCTTAGGGTGATGGGGAAGGTGCTCCTTGAGAGACATGAGGACAAGACCATGTTAACGTCCTCCCGGCAAAGTACCCTCTTGCCTTTTGCTGTGTTTGTGAACCTAATGGCAAGAACAGGCATCAGCCTCATGGCATCGTGGATGTGGGTGACGCGGCATCCTGGAAAGGGTTCTCTTGACCTCCAGGAAGGGTCTGGCAGTTGTGCTCCTGTGGCCTTTGACCTGATGTGAGCTCTGCGTGTCAACTTCCTTTGCTGGTGGATACCCTCCTCCCCAAGGTTTGTCTGTTTTGACCTCAACTCCTGTAAATTTAGGGTGAAGCAGCCACTCACTCTCTTGACTCGGAGCAAAATAAGCACAATCATTTAGATAACTGAACGGGAAGTACCTAAACTAACGGGCCCTAGTCACAGGTATCTAGAATTTTCATCCTTTTTCACACTTGATACTAACCTATAGTTTAATGTCTTTCTAGATTCGAATATATGAGGATTGTTGTACTTAAGTGGAAAATGTTTCCCCCTCCTGCGTATTTTAGATATCTTTCCAAGGTACAGCCCATTTCTGGCTCTTCCTTCTTAAAATATCTGCAATTAATACAAAAACGTTTAATCAGCTATTGCTAGACAGTATTCATGTTTCCTTCCGATGTTTTTATTGAATGATTTTGATCATCTTTGGTACAGTTTGTTTTTTTTTTTTTGCATTTGAATTAACTCCAGGGTGAATTCTTGAGAAATTGCTGGGACAGAGATTCTGAATGTTTCTGTGTGTTTGCGGTGGTTTCTGTGTGTCGGTGTGTGTAGGGCTGTCTTCTCAGCCCTAATCTTTAAAGCCGATTCTCGAGAAGTAGGTTGTGATGCAAACATCACCCTAGTGTAGTGAGTCCGGAGTTAGGACACAGAAGGTACGTAGTACAGCTGCCCTAGAACCTACCTGCCTGCCTTCTTGGGTCTTCCTCTGGGTTCTGTTTATTCAAAACTGGTTTCCATACTTGGTAGACGATACAAGGGAATTTCAGTAGTCTCGACTTTAAGAATTAACTTCCAGTCACACGTTAATTATGTCTCCATAAAATGGCAAAAAGAGTAAAGGTCCATCTTCCCTGCTGGCCCTCTGCCTTCAGTTGGCACCCCCAGAACCGGTCTAAAGACAGGTGTCCTGGGAAAGGATTTGTTGCATTGCATAGGGGCATTTGCAGAGGGCCTGGAGAAAGCCTGGGATGGGCCGACCTCCAACTGGAAAAGTTGCACCTTTTTGGCAGCAGAACTTGGCCGGGAGCCATCGACCTGACCTGATCAGGGTCTGGGGGAGGTGATTTTTTTCAGCTTTCCATCTGACCCTGCAAGGTTGAGTCAGGTGTCAGTTTAGCTAAACCACAACATCAAGGAAGGTGTTGAAATATCTGCACATTTACAGGAAGCCCTTCAGTAGAGTTTCACAGACAACTCCCCCAGCAGCGTGCCAGTTGTTGACAACTCAGCAGATCGCTTGGGCCCAAACAGGAAAGTTATAGGTCAGGATACACAGAAAGTCCAGAAGCAGAATCTTAGTCAGGAGTTAGATGAAACAGGTACATTTCCCATCTAGGGAAAAGATGGGTTCATGATGAGAACATTGGCTCTTCATTTGGGCGAGAAGGCCCAACTCAACTCTTGACTAGGTGCCTGCCCTTGGGCAAGATAACTTAATGGAACTTTGGATACCTTGTCTGCAAAATGGGGATAATACTGGATTCATAGGATGATGGTGAGATGCATTTTAATACTCAACTGATCTGGGACATAGTAAGCATTCAGCATGTTGGCCATCACTTTTTCTCCTGTTTGGCTTAGAAAATCAACACTCTCCTGCTTAGTTGGGTGGAATTTGTCCCAGCTCTGGACCAGATGGATTCTCTTGGTCCAATCAACTGAGACTGAGGAAGTCAGGCAGATCAGAGGGGTGCACAGCTCCTTTACCTTCAAGATGGTGTGGTTCTTTGCAGCTCATAAAGCAGTGGACATGCTTCAAATAATTTCCTCATGAATAATGTGCAAAAAGAAAGTAGGCTGGTGGGGTAATTTTTAAGGTGTGCCTTTTTCAAATAGGGTCACTCAGATAAGCAACTGTATTTCAGCAGGAGTTTTATTTCATTGGTTCCTATGGGTAGTTTAACCCCACCCCCACCCCTGCCTTTGACAAACTACCCTAGGACATTTGGACGCCTGTGGTTGGAAATTACAAAATGGCAGAAACTTGCCAGCTCTAGGCTCTTTCCTTGGTTGTTGGAAGCCCATTTTGAATCCATCAAAGAGCTGTATTTGGCTAAACTCATAATTCTGAACTTGTCTTTAAGATCTAAACACCACAGCAGGGAATTCACACCTTTGCTTTCTTTCCTGCACCATTTACTTTATGGATTCTGTAACTCTAATGTATTCATTTAAAAGGGGGCACTCTTTCCAGTGGAGAAAGCATATGCTTCTTGTGGGATAATTACCCTCAGTCCCAGCAATTCCCCCATTTCTGTTTTCTTGTTTCCAAACAAAATCATTAACCACTTAAGCAAGGAATGCTCATTTGTGTTCAAAGAAAATGAGTTGGCTCCCAAAGCTCTTGAAGTCCAATATGCCCCGAGAAGCAATTGCTTTTGGTTGAGGGTTTTATGGTTTTGGTACCCAAGAAAATTCAGGCTTTTGCCTAAAAAACAAAGCCCCCCAAACCCCAGATCCTTATCGCTTTGCCAAAGCCAATTCCAACTATTTCTAAATAACAAAAGAAAAATGGAGCATTAGCTAAACTAGGGCAAAATGAGGATAAGGGAGTAACTTTACCTCTTAAAAGTGGACGTTGCCGTTGAGGTTTTAAGACCTTGAGATTGGAGCATCAAGCTCTGCATTTTAAAGTTTGAAGAATACTGGAAAGTGACCTTTCTGGGAGAAGAATGAACATCCCAAGTAACTTGCATTTCTTCCCCTCTGGTCCCTTCCCCTGTCATTTCCACCCTCCAGCCCTTTGTAAACAATCTATTGTTTTAGGCAAAGAAGTAAGTTAAAAGAAACAGCAGTGTCCCAAAGACAAGGCATGGAACAAAGGACACTGAAGTTTATTTTATCCTGAAGGGATAATTGTGAGTCCTTAAATTAAAAGCAGGGAAACCTGTGACCTTATACAGCATCTGTCGATACACCTGGTGTTGAAATTTAGGTTTTCCCTGTCTCCTATTTACCTCTCACGAATCAGTTTTTTGTTCTGTTTGTTTTGCATTTTAATGCTTGCTGACTACTCTGGAGGCTTTCAGGCCATCCTGATGGGAGAAACTCTTTTCACTGACCTCCCTAAATGTCCTGAGTTCATTATCATGGTGGAGGCTGATTCTACATCTTCATGTTCTCATGGGGAGAAGACCACAGGGGAGGGAGGATTAGAAGCTGTCATGGAATTTAGTAGGATTGCTAATCTGGGATTCCACAGACCAGGATGTTGTTTTTAGAAATAGGGGAGAAATAGGATGGACTTGCTTAGCGCTGCTAACTTTTTATCAAGTAAGAGTGATGAACAAAAGCACATTTCTTTCACATTGCCCTGTTGTATTATTCACATGGCATTTTGCACTCTCTGAAATGTTTACTTGTTTATTTTATGTCTGTCCTGTTACAACACGACATTTTAAAAAGGGAAAATCAGGGCTCCTGCAAATGTCAAAGATTTTATCCACAGGTTTACAGCCGATTGAAAGGAGAATTGAAAGAACTCCCATATTTCAGGCAATCAGGAAAGTTGGAGTGAATTTACATAAAGATGCAAACAATGGTCAGTATCCACAGGGCTGTAATCAATTGCATTCCTTTGGACAAAATTCATCTGCATTTCAATGGAGAAGAATCATTTGTAGTTCTACCAGTTTTCTGCTAGCTGGAGAGTTGTAAAATAGCTCAGACAGTGAAAGACGCAGGTAACCTGGACGAGTGTGCTAGACAGGTCATCCAGTCACCTTGTGCCTTTCAGCCTTTTATCACCTCTAGGAACCAGCAGAGCCCTCAACCCTGGGCAACAGGGATTGTGTGTCTTGCTTCCCCAAATTGTACACTCTTTTTTAATTTAAAAATTATTTTATTTTTATTAAAGCAAATTTTTGGTAGGGGGAGGTAATTAGGTTTACTTATTTTTAACGGGGTGGGGGGAGCCTGGGGATGGAACCCAGGACCATGTGCATGCTAATCAGGCACTCTACCATTGAGCTACCCTCCAAGATTGCGTGTCTTACTAACTGTACATCCCAGTATCTGGGATATTGTAGGTCCTTAGTGAAGATTACTTGAATGAAAGATTGAATGTTCAGTGGTCTTTTCCTTAACGTCTTTTCCGTAGTGTCTTTTTAGAGGTAAGAACAGTAGCAAACAAAGTCATATTATTAAATCCTAGCTATAGTTGCTTGTGGAACGCACTTATGGAGTTTTTTCCCTGAAAAGGGGGCAGGAAGTGGGAAGATGAGATTACTGTTGGAGACTCAGTCTAACCAGAGGTTTAAAAGTTATTTAACATCACATTCCAGCTCCATGGGTCTCAACTAGGGACCATCTTGTTCTCCAGGGACACTTCGCAATGTCTGAAGACATCTCTGGTGGTCTTAAGCTGAGCTGCTACTGGTATGTGGTGGTTGGAACCCAGGGTTGCTGCTAAACATCGTGCAGTGCACAGGACAGCCCCCCCAGCAAAGAAATATTCAGCCCAAGTGCCAGCAGTGCGGAGGTTGAGAAACTCTGCTCTAGGGAATACCTGGGGCATTTGTTCAGAGACAATTCATTCAGAGAGAAGATTCTAGGAACCACAAGAACTTCACTTCTCTCCCCAGCCTGAGTTTACCGAAAACATTTTTATTGATTCTTGTTCCCATTTTCCCCACCTCTACTTCTCCCCTAGTAGTGCCCTTGACTTCTTGTTACTTACCACCAACACTCTATAAGCAGCCAGAGTGGAATCCATGGAAATTGGGCTCATGGTGGGCTGGGCTGAGAGTCTCAGGAGAAATTATGACTTGGGTCCACCAACTATTGGTGAGGTTGGTGACCTCTGTGGGCCTCAGGTTGTCTGATTTCTGGAAAGAAGATGCTGGACTAGGTTGGCTTACTTTTTAACAACCTTTCTGCTCCAGGCTTCTAGAGGTCAGCAGCCTACTGTACCCAAGGCCTGCTGGATGGAGAGGGCTATCAGGGGCCACTGAAAGGGGCTGCTCTTCAGAAAGCAGGACCCTGGGGTGACCAGTCCTAGGACCAAGGGAAGAAGGCTGGGCTGGACCAGGAAGAGACATGCTGTGCCCCTCATCCCATTCTCACCCCATCACTGCCCCAGCTCTGCTCCTGTCCTGGACCCCCGGTGCTTTTCCTACAGGCCCCACGGGCTCTCTGCTATCTCACGCAAACATCTGGATGTCTCTCAATAAAAGATAAAAGACTTTAATTGCCTCCCTTCCCGAGGGACTGCCTTGCTGAAAGGGACTCTTCATAAAGTGTCTTCTGCAATGATTATAAAAATGCACTGAAAGAAATTTTGAAAATGCAAAGGCAATAAAAATCGTCTCTCTTTCTCATATGACAATATTACTATATTTGATCAAAACAACAGCTCACTGTTGATGGAACAGCAGTTGTGTGGGGAACTGTGGATTAAAGGGTCACAATCTCTTAGGTCTTTTCTGTCACCTTGTGTGGTAATGGAGCTTGGAGAAGAAGGTCTGCAGTGGGTGGAGTTTGAGAGGGGCCCTCTGGGCAGCAGGTGGGAGAGGGTGGGGCCGCCTCTGATGCCATAATTGGTGGGTCAGGATGTTACATTTCCTCTACTCAATAAGCCTTTACTATTGACTGTGTGTCATGCTATGTGTGGGGCACTGTCTCCGTACAGAGAGAAAGCAGAAAGCAAAGCAGACCAGCCAAAGAATGCTGTTTTCCCTTCAAAGGTGCAATGCAACAACTTCCACTGACATGCTTTTCTTGAGGAACGTCACTGGGACATGAGATAAGTCACACTTCTTGGTTTGGGGTCTGCCTTCCTGTACCCAGGGGCCCAGACACAGCAATGGAACTCAAGGGCACCTGCACCCCACATGAAATGTATTGGGTGTACCCACTTAAAAACGTCCTTTGGTTGCAATAGGTTAGTTTACACGGTATTACCCTTGGAGGCTCTTCCATCGTTGTTTTAACTTCCCTCCTTCCTTCACCACTATTCATTTTCTGTCCTCAAAATTTTATCAGGCCCTTTCGAAGGTAGTGGATCCTGGACACTGTGTGAGGGAGTGCGTAAGTGCAGATGAGGGTCGGGGTGAAGGAGTTCCGTGTATGTGATTGTGAGTCAGTGCGGATGAATGTGTCTGTGTGACTGAGAGGGCACGTGTGTCAGCCCCAAGAGAGGTGAGCGAGCGAGTGAGAATGAGGGTGTGCAGGTGCGTGAGTGCACGTGTGTGGTTGTTACTCTCCGGGATCCAGGTGAGAGAGTGAGGATGGTGGGCGAGGGGCCGGGAAAGCAGAGTGAGGTAGGGTGTGTGTCCCTGTGTGATTGCGATTCCTGGGGGCACGTGTGTGTGAGGCCTGAGATCCAGGGTGGAGAAGGTAGCTAATGGTGAGTGCGGCAGGGTGTGTGGGTAGAGGTGTGAGTGTGTGGCTGTGAATGTCGGACGCTGGTGGGAAGTGAGCAGGTGAGAGAGAGTGTGTGTGCGTGCGTGTGTAGGGCTCGCGTGTGAATGTGAGAATGGACACAAAGTGCTAGGTGAGCGTGGCTGCGTGCGCACCGATGCGCGTGTGCTCGTGAAAGTCGGAAGTCGGCGGGGGGCGGGCGCCGGGCGCGCGCGCGCACGG